TGAGTTCTGTGTGAATCTGCTCTGTGTGTTGGCAGTGTATCGAGTTACTAGTGAGAAAACGTGTGGGTCAGGGAGAGCGTGTCTCTGAGGCAGCACTTGTGGGCTCTGAGCCCAGTGGTCTTGAACGCCACCAGCGAGCCAGCAAGACCGCCCTGGAATGAGGCTCCAGGGCACCTCAGCGTATCCCTCCCCTCCTCTCCTGCAGATGCCTGGGTCGCATCGCTCTCACCCCAAGGGTCCCCTCTCCCCAGGCCTTCGAGCAGCCCTCGGCCGAGCCTTCTGCAGGGAGGAGCCCCCGTGCCACACCCTCCTGGGCCTGCCCTGGGGCGACTTCTGTCTCTTGTGGAGGGCCCCTGGATATCCATTTCTCATGGGACCCCTCGCCCTGGTACCATATTGGGAGCTAGAGTTTGCAAGAGGAGACCTGTGGTTCAGGCCCCAGCAGGCCAGCTATGGTCACTCCAGACCTCTGTGTCCTCAAGGCTGGGAGGGAAACCCGGAGACCCTGGGTATTCAGACCAGAGAAGGTCCCCTGGAAGCGGGGCCGTCCGGCCCACAGGGAAGAGTTAGGGAGCAGCAAGCCCTGAGATGAGAGGGCGCTGCCAGAGGAGTGGGTAATTGGACACTGAACTTCCAGAGGAGGGTGATAGGTACCCGCCGGCCCACTGGAGCCGGCCTCCCTGCGGGCCTCACCCCTGCTCTCTCCTGGCAGAGCCTGAGCGCAGCCCTGGCCGTGCGGAGATTCAAGGACCTTACCTTCCAGGAGGAATACAACACGCTGTTTCCCAGCTCGGCACAGCCGTAGGCCTGCCCGGCGTCCCGAGGCAGGGAGCCCTGTGTCCCGCCCCCTGGTGCAGGTGTGGGGCAGCCTACAGCCTGCAGCGGCCAGGATGCCCGGGTGTCCAGGGCAGTGGAGGGCTGGCTCGAGAGGCCAGTTAAGACCGGCCACTTTTCCGTTACCTCTTTTGTTTACCCTTCATGTGTTCATTCATTCAGTAAACATTTATTGAGCAGCTGTTTTGTGCCTAGTGATGAATCAGATGGGGTCCCTGGCCCCAGGAGCCCATGTGCAGGGGAGGGGAGACCGCCAAACCGAAATCTCCCTCAATGGACTGCCATGGGCTGTTAGAGGGTGGGAGGTGGCTCGCTATGTGGGCTGCCAGGGTGCTGAGCCGTGGACAGTGTGAGGGCCTGTGCCACGGCTGTGGCATGAAGGCTGATCTTCCAGTCCCAGTGGAGACTGGTGGCCAAGGGAGGCCTGGCTGAGGACATCAGAGGACTCCAGTCCTGACTCTGCTCTCATGTGCTGTGTGGCCCTGGGCAAACCCCTGCACCTCTCTGAGCCTCAGTCTAATTCCCTGGACTGAGGAGTGATAATGGACCAATCTCTCAGGGCCATTGTATGGATGAAACAAAGGCTGGCACAGAGATGCTCAATAAATGTAGGCTCTTTTGTTCTTTCATTTGTTCCCTCATTCATTTACTCACTCAGTCATTTACTCATTCATTTATTCACTCGTTCTGTCCAAGGAGTCAGGGACACGTCCACAATCTTGACTTCGGGGTGATTCTCATGTGGCGAATCCTTGTTCTGCTGAAGGACTTTGGCCTCCAGTTCTGCACAGGTTCCCTCCTTGGGGCCCTCGGGTGCCTGGGCAGGCACCCCCTGTCCCTCCTCTCTGCAGGAGTTGAGGAGGTGATGGAGCGCAAGCAGGCCCCAGAGCAGAGCACACAGCGTGAGCCTCCTGACACTGGAGGCATCCAAGGGCAGGCTGCTGAAGGCACAGTGGAGGCTCAACAGTGCGCCTGACCTGCAGAAGCAGGGCACGTGGACACCAGGTTCCTGGGCTCTGAGCAGAACTCCCAGCCTCCCCTCCGCAACCCAGTCCAGCAGGGGCCCACGTGGCTCCTTTGCTCCTGCCTGTGGCTGGATGCTAAGGGAGCCTCGGCTCAGGGAGGGCAGGGGAGTGTCCACAGTTGGCACGAGGTGCCTGTGGTCAGAGGCCGCCCTGGAAGGATCCACAGAGGTCGTTGCTCCAGCCCTCTGTCTCCCTGCAGGAAACCAGCCTGGACGGGGAGCCAGGGGCCCCGGGAGAGCCAGGTCTGCAGATGTGTCTCTGAGGGACTCATTCATCCCTTCCCCACGTGCTCCTGCGAGCTTGCCGATGACTCAGGGCGCTGAAGGCCAGGCGCCACCGCAGGGGGCTGCCCCCCTCCCTGCTTCTCCGGGCTCCTGCGTGTGAGCTGCCAGCAGCCAGGACCTCATACAACATAGAAATACAGCAGGGCCCCTTTCCTCAGCCAGCTCCTCAGGCCGGCCTTTCCCAGGCCCCCGGCACTTGGCTTTAAACAGCCACTTCCCAGGAAGGGCTGCCCCTCGGAGCTTCCTCCACTGACACAGATCGGAAGTTAATGCCTAGTCACTGGGCTTCTGGAACTTTCTGGAATTAAACACCAAGCACCTGCATCAGACCTGATGGCCCTTTGGGGTTCCTGGTTGATTTGGTGCTTTGTCGGGGGGCTGATCAAGGGAAGGAGGTGTGGCCTGGGAAGGCCTGTGCTCAAGCATGTGTTCTGGCACTAACTCTGCCTTGAGGCCTCCCTTCTCTAGGCCTCAGTCTTCCCAGCTCAAAAATGGGGGTGTGGGGTTCCCATCACAGGCAGGTTACCTGGCTGGAGAGACTCTGGAGAGCGCTCAGTGTAACCCTGTAAACTACGTTTATAGTGACATTTCACTTACTCCCTGGCTTGGTGTGGTCAGTGTCATGGTCCTTAATAACAATATAGTTGCTTTTACTGAAAAAGACTTTCCCACCTATGCACGGATGCGGGAGACAAGTTTTTCCCAACTGAAAACAAGGGCTTCAGTGGTCATATCAGGTGGTGAATGTGGCTGTAGCTTACCCCTTGGGGACCCAGCGAACATTAAATGGCCAAGGCTCCGACAAGCCCTGTGCTCCTGAAACTGACTGTTTAACTCCGTTTCCCAAACTCGTCGGACCGAGTGGTTTCCATTAGAATTAGGCTCAGCAGCAAACAACAGTGGTTTAAACGAATCCCAGGTCTGGGAGACAGTCCGAGGCTGGCACAGTGGCTCCAGAAGCCTTTAGTGACCCAGGCCTCTTTCATCCCGACAACTTGGCTCCTGGACCTCATGGTCCATTTTAGCAACTAGAGCTCCAGCCATCACATCTGCATTCCAGGTATCAGGTCAAGGGTGAGCAAAGAACTTGGGGTGATCTATTAGCCAGAACTTAGTTATTTGCTTGCATTTGCTGCAAGAGAGGCGGACGCCTTTAGGAGACGGCAACAGTTCTCTGTCCCACCTGGAAACTTCCTTTTCCCCATCCCGCATAACAGCCCTGAGAAGGAAGTGTGGGCCTTTGGGCCATTTTAACACTCCGCAGTGGAGGCTAGGATTGTTGGTGGCCCAGAGCGACTTCTGGGTTTGGGGGACACGGGGCAGGTGACTTCTCAAGTTCTGGAGGATGTGGTTGTGGGCCTCTCCAGGGCTGCTGCAAGGACAGCTTTCCGCCCATCGGCCATCGCCCATCGGCCACCTTGGTTTGTCTTTGGTGCTTTAGGATATTTAACCCTCTGTTGCCTGTGTCTAGTGAACTAACCGCCACTAACCCGGTGCTCTCGTCTGTCTCTCCCCTAACCATCCCCTCCCCCCTGTCCTCGTCCCCCCGGCCCTCGTCCCCAGGCAGGCCAGGCTGTGCTGGCCTTCCAGCGGTACCAGATCGGCGCCGACTCGGCCCTCTTCTCCCAGGACTACATGGACCCCAGCCAGGACTCCAGCATGCCTTACGCCCCCTACGTGGAGCCCAGCGCCGGGCCCGACCCCACCGGCATGGGTGGCACCTACCAGCAGCCAGCCAACGCCTTCGACACCGAGCCCCAGGGCTACCAGTCGCAGGGCTACTGAGCCGCAGTGACCGCTTCCTCCTCGCCCAGTCCCCGCCTGCCCCAGTCCCAACTGCCCCCTGCCCCCTCCTCCCACACCCGGCCCCTCCCTCCCAGGCTGCCCTGCCCAGATCCTCATCAGCCTCCCAGTTGTTCCTCTGAGGCCCAGGGCGGCTTGGGGTGGGCAGGGCATAAGGAGTTGCAGGGGGTATGTCTACGTGTGTGTGTCCAGCAGGAGCCTAGGGTGTTTGCATTCATCCATTCTGTCATCGAGCATCCATTGAGCACCTACTGTGTGCTGAGCCCATGCTTGGCATGGGTGTGAGGGACATGGTGTCTGGGAAGGGGGAGATGTGGAGGAGGCCTTTTGGTGCCAGCGGTGGGAATGGTGAGAAAGACGGGTGATGCTGGGAAGGTCTGGCTGCAGGGTAACTGATCACCCGCAAGACCGTAGGGCTGTCACCTGCTCGGTGTGACACAGCAGCCCTGCTAGGAGCATCAGGCTGTCTGCGTTTTATGGTTGTAGAAACTGAGGCCTGGGGAAGTCAAGGTCACTCCTCCAGGGTCACTCAGGCAGCCAGTGATGGAGGTGGGGCCAAGCCTAGGCTGCCTGATGGGTGGGCACCTGCTGTCCCTGGTCCCGGTCTCCCCCATCCCTCAGCCTGGGGCTCCAGTGCTTGGTGCCCCCATTACTCTGGGAGGCCTCGGGACCTCAGCCCTGAGACACCCCGATTCTGCTGCAAGCTGGGGGCCTATTCTGCTCTCGCTCTTCCCCAGCTGGACAGCCCTGCCTCCAGGCCCCTCGCCACGTCCCCACCGGCCCCTCCCAGGGTGGGCGTCCCCTGCATACCACTCTGCTGTGTGTGCCCTGCTGGGAGCTCAGCACCTTTTTTGTGGCTTCCCGAAGGACTGACCACCGTCCCTGCCCCTAGGGGAGGCCAAGACCCCGCCCACGGCGGGTGGAAAGGAGGCCCAGAAGGGGAGCAGCTGGCCAGGGTCACAGCATGAGTGGCAGAGCTGGGCGTGCTGCCTGGGTTTCTTGGCCCCAGCTGCCCAGCAGGTGGCCCGATTCCCTGCCCTGTGACCCCCAGGAAACAACTGATCTGGGACATTGTCTCCCCTTGCCCTCTGGGGTCAGCCAGCCTGGGGGCTCCAGGAGCCAAGGGACGGAAGGTCCCTCCCCTGGCCCTCAGGAGGGGCCGGTCTCCCTGTGGGAGGCTGAGTAGAGGGGACAAGGACTCTGGACCTGCATGGCCAGCCTAGGAGCTGCTGCCGTGGTCCGAACTGCGCCAAGATGAACGGTGAGAGCCCTGGTGCAGGGGAGGCTCGGGGAGGCCACAGGCTGCAGAGGAGAGAGTAGCAGGTGTCCCCAATGTACAGGGAAGATTGGGGGGGCTGTTGCACAAGGTGGGCTCTTTATGGAGCCTCGAGTGACAGGGAGGCCTTGAACGGTGGAGAGAGGTGTTGGCTGTTCTTACCTCCAGCACCTGATGCCCACAGAAGAACCCTAAGAGGCAGGTAATAGCAGCTGTGGGGCACCTGCTGGGATCAGGAGCTGACAGCCGGTTGGAGATGAGCGCTAGGCCCACCATGGACCAGGGTGCACGCTGGGCTGAGGCCCCAGGAGGGTCCTGAGGATGGAGGAGTCAGCATGGCGGTGAGGGAAGAAGGAACTTCCTCGCCAGAGAAGTAGCATTATTGTCCCCACTTAACAGAAGGGGAAACTGAGGCTCAGGGAGTGTGAGTTAGCAGTGGGGCATGGATTCGAACTCGGGTCTGTTCAAGTCTTCCCCAGGGGCAGCACTGAGGGGAGAGGACCCCAGACGGCCGGGCAGCAGCTGCTTGTTGCTGACCAGCTCCCGAATCTGAGTGGCCCGGCTGTGCCAGACCGGAGGTTTCGGAGCAGTCGGGGTGGGTGGGGTGGGTGTGTTTCTGGCGGAAGTTCTAAGCCCATGCAGGAGGCAGTGAGAAGTCCTTCCCGTCCCCACTCCCCACCAGAAGCCTCCCCTGCTGGCGGGCACTAGGAGACCCCGGGTCTGCCCAGCTGCTCTCCCTGAGCCCCGCTGTGGTGGTGCTGGGCTGGAGGGCAGGGTACGTTTCCGCTTCATCCAGTCCCTGGGTGTTTATTGCAGACTCCCTGCCACCCTGGACTGGGAGAGTTCACAAGACCCCTGGCAGGAGTGGGGGTCACTGACTCATCTCACTCAACATTCTGGGGTACAGCCCACGCATCCACCATCAGGCAGGGGCCAGCCCACGGTGGAGCTGAGAAACGGCGAGAGATGTCGGAGGGCAGGGCGTGGAGGGGACCCAGGGCTCCTGACTCGCCCACTGGGAAGTTGGGGAAGCCTGTTCTCTGTGTTGGCTGAGGAGCCCTGGGGGCCCAAGCTGGGAGGCCAGCAGTATCCCCTTTCCCTCCCTGTTGCCCCCCCTTCCTTGGAGAAATGCCCCTGACCCTGCAGAGTTTGGGTTTCCTTCTCCCATCAAGCACAAGGCAGCCCAGGCAGACTGGCTCCACACAAGGTTAGACTTGCAAGGACCCTCGAGACAGGAGTCAGCGGAAGACAGTGACTTGTCCAAAGTCAAGCACAGAGCTAGCGGTTCAGGGTCCAGGCCTCCTGCCTCTGAGCGGACACTCACCCTTCCCATTGACGGCCGCCTGCCTGGGGGTGTAACACGGAGAGACTAATTCCCAGGGGACTGGCATTCCCTCCCCCCTCCAACCTTCCCTGGTGATTCTTTATCTTCAAAGACTTTTCCAGGGTCCCAGGCCTCTCCCATGTAACCAAGAACCCCCACTTGTTACCCCCTCGGGGCCCCCAACCTTGAACCAAGACCCCTTTTGACTCTAAGGAGCACGAAGGGGGGGCTCCCCTCTCTAGAGTTTGTGGGGGGATGGGCTGGTCCGCCGTCTCCCAGCGCTGCGCCTGGATGTGACCCTCCCCGTCCCCTGGTGCCCAAGCCCTGTCTGGGCGCCCGCCCCTCCTGCAGCGTTACTGCCTGTGTATAGTATAAATATATATATTTTCTATATATAAGATGTATAATATAAGGCTCCGCAAATATATCTGTGTGTGTGCGTGTGTGTGCAGTGAATGGTGGTCCCCATCCTGGGCCCCACTCGGGACTCCCCCACCACCTGGTTCAGTCTCAGGAGTGAATCCAGTGGCCCCGCGGCACCCTCCTTTCTGACACCCGTCCCTTTGTGGTGAACCAAGTGAAGGTGGTGACTTCTGGTGACAGTAATAAAGTGAAGACTCAAAACCCACCCGCGGGTTGCAGTGTGTGGCCTTGTGTTCTTGCTCTTTGTTCTTCGAGAACCTGGCTTGGGATTGCCCATCCGCCATCTCCCTTGACCTGGGACATGTTTTGTTCATCTTTGTTTAGTAAAAAGTAAAATCATTACAGTTGAAGCCAGTGCCTCCCACTTTGCATATGTTTGCACGCGCGCACACACACACACACACACGTGCACATACACTACCATTCCCTATCCTGGACCCTTCCCCAACCTCCAGATGCAACCAAGATTAAGAGCTTGACCTCATTCCTTCCAGACCATTTCTATGCTTCTGTGTATGCATATGTTTGTAGGACACTGGGGTTTTTTTTTAATTCTTTATTATTGAAAGTATTACATATGTCTCACTCAGGACACTATTTTTAAAAATATATTTTTATTGATTTCAGAGAGGAAAGGGGAGGAAAACAGAAACATCAATGATGACAGAGAATCATTGATTGGCTGCCTCCTGCACGCCTCCTCCTGGGGATCGAGCCCGCAACCCCGGGCATGTGCCCTGACCAAACCGTGACCTCCTGGTTCATAGGTGGACACTCAACCACTGAGCCACACCAGCCAGGCTGCAGGACACTTTTGAAAGTCAGTGGCCCCCAGGCCCTATAAAGTGCTGGACACCACACTGGGCCCTAGGAGTTCAACATTGGACCAGGCAGCCTTGCTGTCTCGGGGAGATGGATGGTAAACCCACATGCAAGCAAAGCGTAAGTTGTGAGAAGTGCTGAGAGAACGTCGGTAGATGCCGTGTAGACCTGGGCAGCTGACCCAGAACCTGAGCTCTAGGATGAGGGGGCTTCACCGGCGAGGAAGTGGGCTGGTGAGGGCCCTGGAGACACACATGACCCTGGCCCGGGAAAGCTCGGCAGGAGATGATGAGGGATAGGCGGGCCAGAGGGTGCCCGGGTCCCACGCTCAGGGCCTTGAGGCCTCCGGAGCAGGTCTGGTTCATCCTAAGTGATGGGGAAGCCACAGAGGGTGAGTGGCCATCTGGGTGTGAGCTTTTAATAGGCCACTCGGTGGTCAGTTGGCTGTCAAGAGGTTGCTGCCCATCGTTCAGACAGGAAGATCACCATGGCCATGGGAAGAGTAGAAGCCAGGATATATTTGAGGAAGTATCCCATCAGTACGTGATGGACTGAGGAAAGGCGGGTGAGGAAGGTGTGAGAACTCCCACAGGGCAGGGGGGGTGGGGAGGAGCAGGTGAGCTCTGGCCTCCGTGGCCTGTCAGTCATGGTGCTGGTGGTGTCCAAGTCCCTGTTCATCCGCAAGTCCCACCTTCAACCCTGCATGGGAGATGCCACCAGGTGTGTGATTGGACAGAGGTGAACACGTGATCCATGGGCTGCCCCTTCAGAGGCTGACAGGTCCTAATGTCTTGGTGCCAAGAGGGCCCCCAAGATTAAGCCAATCAGATTGCTTCCCTCCATGATGGGGCAGAGGGATTGGTCAATTGGAAACTCCAGAAGAGGCGAGTGCTAGGTTCCAGTCTACCCGGGTTCCACCCCCTTTGCTGTGAGGCGGCCTGAAGGCTGCAAGGCTTACAATCAGGAGCCCTACCAGCCTTGGAAGGGCCACCCTGAGGCTGCTGCCCACCTGAGGAGCAGACCCCTGGGACACAGAAGGACCCAACAGACCCAACACAGGGTCAGGCCTCCCCTCTGCTCCACCTGGGCCTCACCTGTAGCAGCCCTTCCCCCCTCCCCCCCACCACAGTCTGATTCTGGTCAAGGGCACCTGGGTTGCAGGCTCCTCCCCGCCCGGGCCCTGGTCAGGGAGCTTGCAGGAGGCTACCAATTGATGTGTTTCTCTCACATCAATGTTTCTGTCTGTCTTTTCCTCTCTCTTCCACTCTCTCTAAAAAAAAATCAGTGGAGAGGCAGGGCCCTGGGGGAGTGGGGGGAATCAATGGAAAATTATCCTCGGGTGAGGATTTAAAAAAAACACAAAATTTGACATCCTCATCTGAAGGACTAGGATCTGCCACCAGTGGGGGCAATTCAGAAGAATGCGCCTCAGGAAGGGATGCAGAGGACAGCACACTGGAGAGTGTCAGCCTCCAACAGAACCAGCCATCCCCACCGCCATCACTTTAAAAGTTATAACATGATTGTCATTCGTTGGACTGGAGGGAAGTCATTAATAGCTGAAAAGGGTTTTAACAGAGTCAGGAAATTTGGGGAAATATGAAAACCCTTTCAAAGAAATACTAGCTTTCAGTATCAGGGGCCCTACATGATTTGCAGGGCCTAGTTCAAAAGGAAAATGCAGGGCCTCTTATTCAAAAAGCAGTAAAAAGAAAATAGTTCGGTTCAAGGTACTAAAACAGAATGCTTTTTCCTTTCAAAATATTTTTATTACTTATACAATGTAATGGGGTAATAGTGATATGAGTAATATAAACTTAAAATGGTAACAAAATAACATTTTGTCCTAATCCTATATAATAAAAGGCTAATATGCAAATCAACCAAACTGTGGAATTATTGGTCCCTATGACACGCACTGACCACCAGGGGGCAGACGCTCAATGCAGGAACTGCCCCCTGGTGGTCAGTGCGCTCTCACAGAGGGAGCACCGCTCAGTCAGAAGCTGGGCTCACATCAGTGGTGGGAGCCTCTCCCGCCTCCGCAGCAGTGCTAAGGATGTCTGACTGATGACTTAGGACATCCCCCCGATGGCTCCCAGACTATGAGTGGGTGAATGCCTGGCTGAGGGCCCTCCCCCTGAGTGCACAAATTTCATGCACCAGGTCTCTAGTATAATAAATAATTTACTAATATAGCTGATTGATAATTAGAGTTTTCTGCAAATTCACTTATTAGGTCATCAAAATGTATACTTTCGCCAATGTCATTTCAGCTGACACTCAGGCCTCCCTCATTTCATTGCGTTTTGCTTTATTGAGCTTCACAGATGTGTATTTTACAAACTGAAGGAAAGACCCTCTGCCGGTTAAAAGACTATGACTCACTTTATTGCAATAGTCACTTTACTACAGTGGCCTGGAGCCGAGCCCGCTCTGAAGTATGCCTGGAATTGAAATCTATGACGGGCAAAGGCAAGATCGTAATTTTTTATAATTTTTAATTTGGAGAAGGATCTTTTTGCAGATGCAACTTACTGGAGTTGGTCAGAATATTTCATAGGCTGTCACATTAGGAGAAATTTCTGGTAAAGTATTTCAAAATGTAAGTTTTAGCTGACGATTCTTGTGGAACAATTTTTCTAAAAAGATTTAATTCTCACCCTGCACAAGTTTGATTCCCGGTCAAGAGCACATACTGGGTTTCAGGTCCCATCCCCGCCCTCAGTCGGGGTGCATGTGGGAGACAACCAATCGGTGTGTCTCTGTCACATTGATATTCCTCACTCTCTCCTCTCTTTCCCCCTCTCCCCTCCCTTTCATTCTCTCTAAAAATCAATGGAAAAATATCCTCACTCTTTGGGTGAGAATATAAAAATAAATAAATAAAAAGATTTAACTCTCCATACAAATCAATTTCATATAAATCTGAATTTAATTTTTTATGTATATGGTGACACTGTAACGTTTCCTCTAACATTTTCTGTAACTTGTGGAGGTGGTACGAGAAACTGAAAGTGACTTCATGCCCTGGCCGGTGTGGCGTAGTTGGTTGGAGTGTCCATCCCATACATCACAGGATGGCGAATTTGATTCCTGGTCTGGGCACATACCCAAGTTATGGGTTCCATCCCCAGTTGGGGCACGTGAAGGAGGCAGCTGACCAATGTTTCTCTCTCATCTCTCTCTCCCTTCCTCTCTCTCTAAAAATCAATTTAAAAATTGTTAAAAAGATAGTGACTTCATGGATTGTATATAGTTTAAATAACCTCTTTTATCATTTGATTGCTGTATCTTTGATAACAAGGAAAACTTAGTTTTAACATTGCCTCCCTCATTAATAATGAAACTTCACATAAAAATAGAATTATTTTCTGTAGAATATGATCTTTAAATTTAATTTTTATTTCAAAGCCTGTGGCTTTTTTTTTTTTTTTTGCTTTGCAATGTGGCAGCAGTTTTCAAAATCAGAGATGCTACACACTGAAGAATTCTGACTCTCGGATATGCTTTATTGCAGCGTCCACGTGGACGCCCTGGTTCTGTAATGCTTCACTGGGTTTACCGCATGAGCGCTGCCTTAGGCTGCAGGGCTTGTATTTGTGAAGATGCTGCAGGACAGACTTCCACGCGGGGTCCCTTCCCTCACCACGGCCCTGGTGACTGCAGCCATCTGCTGCGACTGCCAGTCTGGGCACGGATCCTGGCCTGGCTGCCCCCTTGCAGCCCCACGGTGTCCCAGACTGCCCGGCCATGTGGGCGCACGCCGGGGTGGCCAGGCCACTGCTCAGCACCCGTGCTGCCCGCTGCCCCGCCACTCCTGCTGGCAGGAGCCTGCGTGCTGCCACCTGGTGTATCTTCTCTGCTCACACACATGCTTCAGTGCGAATTGGGCTTCTCTTACAAAACACGGTCCAAAGACAAAGTATTAGGTATTTCAAGGCGGGAAAGCAGAGCATTAAACCCAGAGCTGAGTCCGTTCTGAGGGTGGTGTGCTGTGTGACTGCACTGGTCACATGCCCATGAGTTCAGCCTTGCCCGGAACACTGACTCCGTCCCCTATCCATTTCCCCTTTATCCTATTGTGTGCCTTTTCCCTCTGCTTTTAGTCTCCTAATCAATTAGACAGCTGCACTTGTGGGCCTAAATATCTACACTAATAAAAGACAAAGATGCTAATTGACCATACCTTTGCTATGCCCTAAGCCATGCCCACCAGCCGATCAGAGCGACTATATGCAAATTAACCCAACAAAGATGGTGGCCGGCAGCCATGGAGCTGCAGCAAGCAGGAGGCTTGGTTGCCCCGGCAATGGAGGAAGCCAAGCTTCCCGCCTGCTGAGCCGGCTGTGGCCTCCACAAAAGGCAACAAAGTTTCAATTATAGAAGACAAATAAATCCCAGATACCTGCTTCCAGCCAGCCTCCACTGGGAGCTTGGGTGGCTGGGGGTTGTGGCCAGCCTGCAAACAGCCATCAGCCCCTCACCCAGGCTGGCCAGGCACTCCTATATAATAAAAGGGTAATAT